TCTTTCTCTCTCTCTCTCTTCTGCAAATCAACGCTTCATATTGTGGAGGCCAATATAATACATAATCAAGCCAAATAATATAATAACTTTACATTGCTATTATTTTCATAATTTCTACCACGTTCAAGTTTTGGGCTCCATCTAGCAAACTGAAAAAAACAAAAGATGCTGGAGTTTCAAACGTGTAGGCCCACCTAAAATATTGTTGTTAATGTTGAAGGGCATTTTATAAATTTGCACTGACTGTTTGATGTCTTCTTAATTTAATAAAATTTTATATATTTTATCACTAAAATTGATCAGTAAAGGGTACACAAATTGTGACATATTTCCATTTCTTTTCAAGGAAAAATATGAGGGGGCTTCAAAAAGTTTGTGGAAAACTAGAATTAAAAAGAGAAGCCTTCTCAGATTAGCTTAACTTCACTTACCAAATAATGCTAATAACAGTGATTGCCAAGCCTTTCTGAGGTCAGAAGCTTCTTAAAAATAACAAGAACAAAACCAATCCTATTGCAAAATATGGTAGAGATAACAAAGCTCACATATTAACTTGGGAGTTTATATTATACTAACTGTATTCATCAGACATAAATCACCGAGTGAAATATAAAGGAGCCACTTAGACAGCATGTGCAACTGAATAAGTACAAGTAAATTATCAGCTCAGAGTGGATTGTTTATACAATGGGCCATATGTTAACAAGTCTTGTGTCTGCTTTAACTAAATTAAAAGAATAATTAGCTAAATAAAGGATGTAAACTCCATCGTTCAAATCTTGTAAGATATGTTAAAAAATACTTGTTTATCTAAAATAGTTTTAAAACTTTGCTGCAATTTGTTGGACAAAATGGTTCTTCCAGACCCCGTAGGAACAAACTGTAGGGTATAGGCTACAGATACTGACATTGTGAGATTTAAACTGTTAAGAGTCTTTTACTATTTTTGAGATATTAAGTCAGATTATTATTACAACTGGGAAGTCTAATTTTCAAATACTATCTTTACCAGTTGAAGTACGTTATCCTCAAAATCCCGTAGTCTTTTCAATTTTCATTTAATAGACTATTCTACTGAATTTTCTATAAGATTATATTACTGTTCTTTATCTGGACTGCACAAAGCTAGCCAATGGATCAAATCCCCGAGAGAGTGTACAATGTGAGGCAGCATCTTCAGAAATGCTTCATCAAAGGAAGCCTCGTCAATTCCTTAAGCTATACCTAAAATCTCAACAAGCTAAATTCTCAAAGCCCAGCAAAAAATCCAGACACAATGAAACCTCAAAATTAAATACATGAACTTATTTAAAAAGCATTCTACTTAAGCGCTCCTAGTTAAAAATAAATAAACCCCCTCCCAAATAGTGCATGCTTCCGATTCATCGAATCCCCCTTTTCTTCCCCACTATTCTCATTTTTATCACTCTCCTCTCCCCCACCCCAATCAAGATGAGCACACCGTATTTTGGTTTCTCTTCCTCCTCCTCATTGTTCAAGCAGTGCTATTCAGAGAAAGCAGGCTGTGCGAAGCTGAAGAAAAGTCCCTAAGTGCAATGTCTTTCAAAGTGCAATCGTTTCCCGAGGCCTCTGTATGAAAAACCCATGTGAACCCAACACCACGGCGGGTCAACAGCCGCCGCAAACTGGAAGCTTTAAAAGAAAGCCGTTAAAAAGCACTTCATTACACACCTTCTCGGTGAAGCCCATTGTCTCCACTGAAAACCATACTGGCGTCCTGGCATAAAAGAAGTTGCCTTCTGGCTGTCAGTAGCTAGCCGGCTAGGAACTGAGGGAGCCAGATGTCTGCAGTGGTTACAACAAATGCTTATTGGGGCTCCCTCGGTGCGGTTCTGCACAAAGGCAGCAGAGTGGGAGCGCACATAGCAACAGCGCTCACAGCTGATTGGAGGAGGGTGTGCTCAGCCTCCGGGCTCACTAGGTCCACTCCGGCTTCCTGTCTACTTGGCAGCACTGGCTTGTTTTCTTCCCTCCTCTTACCAACTCCGCTGTGTTTAGGCAACTCCGGAGAACAGCACAGAGATAATGACAAAGCCGTCTGTCTGGTAGGGGCCTCTGAAATCTCTCCTCCCTTTCAAAAAGGGAGAACTCCGAAAGTCTGTTTGAATTAGCTTTTCACAGAAAACCACAGACAAAGAGGGATGGGGTGGGGTGGGGTGGGGGAGTATTTATTTATTTATTTTGTTTCACCTTTCAAGTCAAACGGTCTCCCAGGTGAAATCCGCAGGAAAATATACAAGCACACAATGTTTGCAGCAGTGAGAATAGACCACCAGGTTCAATCCATTTACCTAGATATAGGAGTTGCATTGCAAGCTTCACAAATGCCTAGCTATTTAAAAGTGGGGTGGGATCTACTCCCCCTAAAGAGTTACCCGTATGTGAACCCCACGGGGCAGGTGTGCCCCATCCTGTAGAGTTGCCCTGACTTCATGGCCTGAGTTCGATTTTGGTTTTGGAGGATCAGAAATTGCACCCCTCAACAAATTTACGGAGTTCCGGTTAAGAGGGTAAGGAAAATTAACTTTGAAGAGTTGATTAAAGATTCTAAAAGGGGGAATAATAATTTACTCAGCAACCTCCGGCAATAATAAAAGGTTTACACTGAAATGTCTCTTTTGCATAAAACCAGAATCACATTTTCACCCAAATTCATTGACTTTCTTTCTTGCAAAGGCATAAAGGCAAAGGAGAATTTTCCAGATGCTAAGGATAGATTTTGGTGTACGAGTTCCTTTTTCCACATGCTCTAACGTAACAACAAAACCCACAAAATCCTTCCCTGACTTAAGAGTTGTTGGGGGGAATCCATGCAGGTTGTAAAGGAAGAAAAACAAATGCGATGTTTCAGAAATATTTCTGCTGATTATCCAATGAACTAGAACAGGGTTTCAAACTTTGAAAGCAAGAGAGCCCTATTTATTTCCCCTCTTCTGATAATTTACATCATCATTATTGGTGGCGCTGCCTTCTTAAGCTCGTTTGTTTTTCTATTTTCTCTTGTAGAGAAATCCTAGCGCTACCACGAGGATTGTGGGAGGAGGCTACAGAAGCAGAAATATGATGTTATTGCTGGGATCGGTGCTTGTTTAAGTCTTTCTAGGGGGAGAGGTGGAAATGTTGGTAGTGCTGCAAAGCACCCCCTACCATCCACTTACTGGGGCGGCCACTACAGTGTACAAATCGGATACAGTACTGCAGCTTCATCACCAGGATTTAAGTTCCTTTTTGTACCGTGTACTTATTAGAGAGCAAATGAACACCAAGGGGCCGTTTTTAAATAAGGGGCTGTAAACAGCTTTGCAGTTTCAATATTCACCCCAGTATCCATAAAATCCCTACTCCAGTAGGCAGTTAGGAACTAGTGTGGGCTAACATCTATCATGTTTAAAAATTAAGTGCAATCTTTAAGAGTTAAATCTTATTATTTTATTACCTTAATGCAAGCAAAGATTTTGATTGTTGGCTCGACAACTAACCAGAAGGGCAACTGCTAAGGCCTCTGGGAAATGGCCAGAAGGGAGATAGGTTTAGAAACACAGTAAGTTTATGAAGTAGGGGACTTTAAGAAAGAAGAGCGTAGTGAAGACAAAGGTTTTGGACTCCAGGGAACCTAAGTTAAAAAACGAGAACCTCCCATCTGATAATGGCCAGGTATAAAAATTCCTTAGCAATGCTGAGCTCAGATTGCTCCTCTGTAAAACCCAGTTAACTAAAACTCACAAGCTTCTTCAAACATATAGTCTTCGCAAATGCAATTCATGTGCTTGATAAATCAATCTCAGCTTAGTTTTATCTTTTCCTGGGGCAATTTTCCCTGACCCCAATCCCTGAGATTAGTCTCAGGGACTCCTGTACTTTTTTTTTTTTTTATGTGATTAACCAATAAAATCTTAAGCAGTTGTTTGCAAAATGGCTGGGTTAAAGGACAGTCTCCACTACCACATTGTAAATGCTTTAAAGCGAGGTATCAGTTCTGTTTAGGTAAATGTTTTCCTCCACCCAAACCAATCCTGCTGCCAAATCATTCATCCTGCAGAGCAGCTGGTAGTTTCCAAACATCCACCTTTCCTATAACAGCATTCTAGGTCCATTAAAAAAATGTATTGAATAACTTATCCGTGGATTAAAGGTACCTAAAGTCATGGCTTATTCATACCCCATATTACTATTTGATTTCACGATCTTGTGAAGCGAACAGAACAAGTATCATTATCGTCATTGTTCAAATACATGAATTAGTGCACAAGTGTATTTACTCAACGAGAAGTAAGAGGAAATCAAGTTTTCTGATGACTAAATGTGTAATTCAAAATCAACCTTTTCCTAGACCTCTCAAAAAAGACTAATGCATACTCTTTAAATTGTTTTCTGAAATATTTCCTTCCAGTTATAGTCCTTAAAACTTTTAAATTACATAAATTATCAAGGGTTCATGAGGGGGTCGGGGAGAGGGGAGGGAGGGTAAAAAATGAGGAGCTGATTCCAAGGGCTCAAGTAGAAAGCAAATGTTTTGAGAATGATGAGGGTGCCGAAGCAGCCGCGTGGGGATGCTTACACGCTCACTGATTTGGCTTTCCTCCAGAAGTTGGCGTCATTACGTGTGTTTTGTGAGATGGAGGACTTTGTAGATTGGTGTTGGACATATGGGCTAATGCTGGACTTATGGGCTTGGACAGCACTGAGTTGGGATGCTTTCTTAACGTACACTTACTTACCCTTTATATAAAACTCTCTCTTACATACATATGAGTTTGTGTGGATTTCTTTCTCCAGTCTATCCAGTCTAACACAAGGATCTACCTTATAAACCTCACAGGTCTACAACCCAAGAATCTAAAAGCATGAAATTCTATACAAGTTCCCAACGTTCATCCACAACCATGACAACCCCCTTTCTCCCTGTTAATAAAAATTTATTTTATGGTAAAGTGAGAAAATGAATTGGAAAGCATAATCTTCTTTTAAGAGTTTTTTTCTAAAACTTTATACCAAAAAAATAATTAGCAATAGTAATTAAGATGTATCTACTGCTAGTAGCGGTTTATAGAAAATCATTCTATCTTTGACAAGATGATGAATGATTAAATAACTCTGACATAGGAAGTGAAATTAAGAAGTCTTTCTACAACATCATAGACACCTGCATTCACACAAAATAAAAACGTGAAGCTACTGTTTCTCAATAGACCCTGCCATCTAGGTCTATACACTTCTGATGGCAGCGATTCCGTCTCTCACCTTTCTCTCCCTCCCCTGGCCCCACAAGAAGGGGCAAAGTGTATTATGAGTTGGAGTGTTAACAAGAACAGTGGTTTGAGGCCACCAGTCACTCCACAGGAGAAAGATGAGTTTCTCCGCTTGTGTCAAGATTTACAGCCTGGGAAACCCAAAGGCACAGTTCTACTCCACGCTACAGGGTCACAGTGAGTCACTGAGGGAACCCTTTCTTCCCAAACATCTCTGCCTTCTTGGCTTTACATGGTGTCCAAGCAGCGGTTTGGGTGTCCTCAAAGACTCAGATTGTGTTTCTTTCCCACTGAATTTGCTCCTCGAGATTTGGAAACACAGAGCAGTCTGAAGGCGCAGGGGCAGAACTGCAGGCTGGATGGGGCGTATGGTTTCCCAAGGAAATTCTTCGCCCTTCCTGCCCTCAAAGAGCGAACAAGGGCATTGTCATGATGGAAAGAAGTTCCTTGGGCAACTTTTGGTCTTTCAAGTCACCTACGTCATAAACTTAGCGTGTTTCAAAACCTGTCTCCTTTCTCACCCAAGCAGTTTTCCTTTTTTGTAATCACCCCCTATAATCATCCTGTTGCCTTCGAGAAACTCTATCAAAGTCTCCCTTTTAGAATCAGTAGAGCGGACACCTCTACTTTCAAGGGAACTGGGCCTCTGAAAGCCCTGCTGCGATGGTCCTCCTTCCTTTTACTGAAGGCACCCTAACAAGACGCAGACAGATGTACAACCAGGAGGACTTGTCTGCAGCAACCAACCCACTGGTCCCGAGACTCGTTTAGACACTGTGTGTGGTACAAACTCGGGCGCTTGTGAACTAGAACCCTAACAGCATGCTTTTTCACTTCCTACGTACTGCGTGGGCCCATGGACCAGCCATGCGACAGAACTCTTCCCATCTCCATTTCCTCTAGTCCTCCAGTACCACGAATAGTGCACATGAGGGAAGTGGCTTGTTCCAAGTCCCCAAAACCAAGTGTGACCCAGGACTCAATTTCAGGTCTTCTTACATCGATAATGGGTGATCTAAGCTAGTATTACCCTTCCCTTAACCACTCCTTCCGTACATGATTTCCCTTAGGCAAGTCGGGCGTTACCCAACAATGAAGTTGAATGCAGTCATTTCAAGCTCACATTTCCCACTCAGAGTTCATTCAGTAACCAACACTACAGCTCCATCACAGCTCCGAACTAAAGTTATTGTACTGCTTCTAGCACAGGAAAACTGGACTTGATTGCGAAGCAGGAAGCCATGCTAGAGCTGCCTGATGGTGCGGCAAGCAACAAAAGGTTCACACTCTGTAAAACTGCACTACTTCATTCTCACAGATCACTTCTTCATTGTGCAGCAAAAGTGAAAGACAACAAAAAAGGACACTCAACCAGAAAGCACACGTCTCTGTCATAGTACCAGTGTGACACCAATTTTGTGACCTGGTCTCTTATCTCAGAAATCCTCTTTTCTCAGTAAGGCCGACCCCACCAC